ATCTGGAGAATACGGTGGCTGAGGTATGTTTACTTTGTTGTTTTTTAGCCAAAAAATTACGAACAAGCAATGCCAACTGAACAGGTGCATCGCCGAGATGCAGAAGCTGTGAATTGTTTTTCCAAAATAACGGAAGGTTTCTTCGTATTGCTTTCCGCAAGCGACGCATAACTTCAACATAATGGTCCTTATTGACCTTACGACCACGTGGCAATAACTCCTGATACACTAAGATACGGTAATCGAAGAAAGCAGTAGGGGAAACCTGGGCAACGTGAATACCTCAAGCTTTTCTTGACCATTGTCGTTTAGTTATAACTGGGGAAATTGAAACGAATATTTATATCAAGTCTTCATTTAATGAACTTACAAAATGTTGAAAAATTTGTTCTTGAAAAAAAAATTAAACTATTAGATATAAGGCCAGTTTTCAACAATGGCATGAATATCCACTTTGCCCAGCACCCCGGGTAAAGTAGATTCAGTATTAGAAAGGCAAACAACAACATTATTTGTCATGGAACTAAATTTTTAAAATGAAATAACCATCNCATGCATCAAATCCTGCTCATAAGAAAGAACATGTCACAAATAATATTATAGTTATGAACGAAACACTTACCTCTGTGAATTATTATTATTTTTCCAAAAACACAGTCTATCCGGTAACTGGCCTAGCATGATGCGAACTCGTCCCGACGTGTTTACCGCGCACGGGTCAGCAACTAGCTATAACAACACGGCGGCCGGCCAACGAACCATTTGGGAATTAATAGGCAATATTCGCTTTACCTTGTGTATCTACTTTACCCGAGTTTCCAATATGGAAAACCTTGACACCTGATCGAAATTGCGGTGTTTATTTTTGAAAGTGGCTCTCCCGGGCTCTTCCATTGGGACAAGTGGACATTGGTTTCAAGGTAATAACCACATATCCATGATTCGTCACTAGTTATGATTTCTCTGAACAAATCTGGATCGCCATTGAATATGTAGATATTAGCTAGTAAAGCCACGCCCAAAGAAGCCATTGTATGGCAAAACACATGTTGTTTTTTGGATACGTTATGGATTTTCATTAAGTATCGGCCAATTCCATCATATATGTTCATCAACTTCTGTGAATATTTGAATATTCTGTTAAAAATCCGTTTTTTCGATAACCCTTTCAAAATGATTTTCTGGTTAATGATAAAACCAGTTGATAAATAATTTTTATCGCTGTAACAGTTTGACTCTTGTGTCATTGCAAGTAGTTGTTTTATATTGCCAGTAAATATTGTTTACTGGAAACATCAAGCCTGCATAAAGTATCAACAACCCAAATTTTCAATTCTTCATTCAACACCCTTTCAGATTGATTTCTTGGTTAATGATATAGTCAAAAATATTTATTTTTATCGCTGGAACATTGTTATTATTATGTCCTTACGGGTAGTTGGTTTGTATTGCCAGTAAACATTGTTTACTGGAAACATCAAGCCCACATATATTATTAATAACATACATAATATACATTTTTATTCAGCACTCTATCAACCCTTCCTGGTTGATGATGAAACCTGTCAAAAATATCAAAATATCAATATTTATTGCTGGAACATTGTTTTTCTTCTGTGATTACGAGTAGTTGGTTTATATTGCAGGAAAATATTGTTAACTAGAAACATCAGACCTTCATATGGTATCAATAACCCAAAAATACTTATTTACAATTTTTTATCTAAGACTGTTTCAGCCCCTTGAAAATGATTTCCTGGTAGGTAAATGAGAAAGCTAGTGAAGAACGATAGTTTTCATTGCTCTTCGTATCATTCAGTCATTTAGATATGCAGGAGTATCATAAAAAAGAACAGATTTTGATGTGAATTCCATATTTGATGTTTCTCAATTTCATGCTAGAAATAGCCTTCGAGACTAAAGCTTATTTGTTACAGTGTTCATTTGGGGTACGATAGAGAGCATATTTGAAAACCACTTTAACTACCTCAGAATATTGTACTCACCAGACGGATTCTTTTTTGTACCAAAAATGACATAGTGTGATCCTCTAGTGACCAATCCCTTGTCGAAAGCAGTCTCATTCAAAGCTTCACCAACACCGAATGCATCATCATGTAAACACTTTCTATGTAGCTGAAATGAGTTTGTTTAAACCTAGCAGTAACTCAAAAACTACCACTAACCATAAGTTCAATTTGTCCGTCCTCCAAACTTGAACCTCCTTGAGCTCTATCAGTTAGCACAGCGACTTCAAGATCCTTTTCTCTGATTGATATTTTGGAGGTAACTGGATAGTAATTTCCCGCCACTGGTTCTTTGAGGTTCAAATTCCAAGTCGGTCGGAAATTACGTATTCTTGTAAGAGTTTCACGCCCATTCGAGTCCGTGTAGAATAAAGAGTTGGAGTCCAAAGGAGTCGTGTATCTCGTAATGATTTCTTTTCCATGAGCGTCGCTACAAAAATCGAAATTGGTCATCAAGGTGTGTTCAATGATAGACAAATATTATGAGACTTACTCAGTGGGTATAGGTCCAACGATCCAGTCAAATTCAACGTATGTTTCTCCGCTATAGACTCGAATTATTTGGCTGATCCAGTCATTGTACTGTTGATGTACTTCAGAAACCAGGTTGCCCAAGTAGATTTTGACTTGGTTTCGGTTTTCTATACTAGAAGCTTTGCCGTATGGTCGAAATATATATGCACCTGATGATCTATTCGCAAAAACCTCATTGTTACCAACGAATCCTTTGTAGTAAAGAAATTCTTGGTTGAAGTCTAGAGATATATTATTCATGATTATTTTGCTGATCGACCCGGTAGTTTCATTGATTTGGAATTCTGCTTCCTGAAAATTGAATTACTTTGAATGGCCAAATTTTGATATAAAATTCATGAGTATCGGATTTTCATGTCTTGAGATATGTTCCTCGATAGGGTCATCAAACTTTCAACTAGGTAATAGTGAGTAGGTCTGTTCCACCCTCCACCCAAAAGTGTTACTNTCCATCATATCTGCCCACAGGACATCACAAAGGCTTCATAGCGTACTTAAAAAATAAAATTCCTGATGTGCTCGCTGTACATTGCTTCATTCATAAGCAACATTTGGTTGTGAAAAATTTGAGTGAGCGCCTCTCTCAATCACTGCAGTATATCAACAAAACAGTCAATAGAATTCGAAACAGCTCTTTAATCTTTAAATGACAGATTATCTAATCAGCTATGCGTTGCTGATGATGAAGATTTCAACAGATTGCTATTTCATACAGAAGTGCATTGGTTATCAAGAGGTAACTATCTGACTCGATTTTACAATCTATTTGACTCTGTAATAGACTTCTTGGAAAACAAAGACGAGGAATTGAACGACAACCTCATCACTTCAAAGAATGATTGCGTACTTGACTGCGTACTTGAGAGACCTGTATAAGGTGACGACTTGAATTTGATTAGAACAAAAAATGTCATTGCTGCTTTTGTAGACAAATTGCTCTTATACAAGAATGATATCGACAGACGTGAGTTTCACAATTTCCCTAATTTGTCAGCAGTATCTTTCAAAAACGACGAATTGCTTGTAATACCGTACTGGGTGTTGGATCCTTTTTCAAATGTCAACATAACAGGATCACCCCAGCTGGAAGAAGAACTCATAGAACTGATAACGAACGAGAAAATAAAAATAAAATTCAAAAATGGATACTTAGAATTTTGGCTACAAAAGCCAAACGTGCAATTATACCCTGGATTGTGGTCCATCGTTCAACGATTTTTGATGGCATTCTCATCATCTTATTTGTGTAAACGTGGATTTAGTGTTGTGGCAACGTTCCTAACTAAAAAGAGAAATTGGTTGCAGATTACCGAACGCAGTGACTTACGGCTGTTTGTGAGTAAATTCGAGCCTGATATTAACAAACTTGTTAAAAATCATCAAATTCATCTTTCACATTAGATTAGTTTTAAAATTCAAATTGAAATGTTTGTTTCAATAACATGAATAAAAGTTTTCCTAATATTACAAAATGGTGTTTTACATTACCCTTATCAGAAAGTCTCATTTTCACATAGCACACATAATTTAATTATCAAAATAATGACTGCTATTATCATTCTTAACATGTAGTAAAGTAAAAAAAAAATGGTGGGCGCTAGAAAATAATTAATTCTCGAAGTGGGCGGTAGACAAAATAAGTTTGAGAACCTCTGATCTATTGTCATTTGAGTGGACCGCCCGTGATGGATGGATTCCAAAGCGTGCAAAGACGAAACAGACAGCTGGCAAGGTTATGGTATCCGGATTTTTGGATGCGCATGGTATAATATTCATCAACTATCTTGATAAGGAAAAAACCATCAACATTCAAGTGACTTATCAGTTTCAAACCTTTTTATGAAATACTATTGTGTGCTTATACAACAATTTTCATTTATATAATGATCTTGATGAATCAACNATTTTATTTCAGTTATATTCCGTTGTGATTGTTCATTGTACGATGCGATATTGATTTTTAATATTGTTAATCAAACTCAACACGAAATCAAAACATCAACATAAATTCCGAAACTCTCAATGACTTCTATTGCACAAAAATTAACATCTACCCTAGAACCTCAATCAGATCTCATGGAATTTCTTAACCACATTGATGTATCCAATAATTTCCACTTTACTGGCCACTGTCAACTAAGGAAACACCTCCACAATATGGGGCTAGTGGACACACCTCTATGCAGAATGTATGAACAGGAAGATGAAACTGTCAGGCATGTCCTATGCGAATGTCCGGAGTTATCGTACATAAGAGAGTGTGTATTCGTCGAGTCATGGCCTACACCTGCCTATATAAAGGAGATGTCTCCCAGAGACCTGTCCACCTTCCTGAAAAGGACAGGATGGACGATGACCTAGAAGGACAACTCCATGGGTGCTGTGGGCCTACACTCACTCTCCCTATTTTACAGATACAGAAGCACTGTTCGACGTTTGGTTCGCGAAATTCCGTTCCGGAGAGTTTAGCCGTGAAGAAGTGCCCAGAAGTGGTCAACCTACAGTAATCCAGGACGAGAATTCAAGGACTCTGTTGGAAACTGGACCACCACAAACGAGTTCTTTTTTGCTTTTGCGCAACCAAAACGATCCTTTTTCGAGTCGGATCGTCACGTGTGTTGGAAAGTGGGTCCTTAAGGATAACAGGGACAATGGCTGCATACCGATGACCCTCCCAGACACTTCCCAAGGGCGAAAACACACAAAAAAAGGCCATAGTTACTGTATAATGGTCAGCTGTTGGTGTGATTCACTATATCTTTCTGCAACCGAGCCAAACCACAGCAGAGTTCTATTTTGAGAAAATCGATTTCAGAAGCCGCCACAGGTCAACAGAAGAGGTCCGATCCTGCTTCCCGATAATACTGTCTGCACGTTTTATATTTTATCATCCGAAAATTGAACGAAGTGAACGTCGAAGATTTGCCTCATGTTCCATACTCCCCAGACCCCGTACTAACCGACTACCATTTTTTCTAGCACTTCAATAACTTTCTCACCGGTAGAACCTCCTCCGATCAGGATCAGTCAAAAACGGTCTTCGTCGACTTCTTCGAATCCCCAGCACAAAATTTTCATGCTAATGAAATTAATCGACTCGTGTTACGTCAGCACTGATTCAAACGGCGCTAATTTCGACTGAATTGAATTAGTATCTACTGAGATATTACAGTTTGAAGTAGACTTACAAGTATGGACATAAATTGAAGCAACCAATTACTTGGGTTTCGAACAAATATTTTTGGGATAAATACACAAAATCATAAATGAAATTTCAACCAGAAAATATTGCTACCATAAACTGTGGTAAAACTGTACCAAAAAAAATGTGGGAATCTTCCAAAGAAAGGAAGGAAGTAATCGATTTGGAAATAAGTAACTCTATACATGGATGTGTAGATCATGCAAAGAACAAATTTCAGACATAAACTGGAAGAAAGCCCTCATGAAACAACTACTTTCATATAAACATTGAATTAC